GTCGGTGTATGAATCCCAGGAGCGGCAGACGTGATGACCACTGAAGGAGCAGTGACAGCTGATGGGGCGACCACCAGGGGAGCGGCAGCTGACGTTGGAGCCACAGGAGGAGCGGCAGCGATGGCTGATGCAAGAACCACAGAAGGAGCGGCAGTGACGGCTGACGCAGGAACCACCAAAGGAGCAGCAGCGGCTGACGTGGTGACCACAGGAGCGGCAGCAGCGGTGAAAGCGGCAGCAGCGGTGAAAGCGGCAGCAGCGGTGGAAGCGGCAGCAGTGGTGGAAGCGGCAGCAGTGGTGGAAGCGGCAGCAGCGATGGAGGCGGGAACCAGCGGAGAAGCGGCAGTGGTTTACACGGTGACCTCAGGAACGGCAGCAGGAACCAGAAGAGGAGCAGCAGCGGCTGACGTGGTGGCCTCAGGAGCGGCAGCAGCGGCGGAAGCAGGAATCAGAGGAGGAGCAGCAGCAGCTGGCACATTGACCACAGAAGGAGAAGCAGCGGCGGCTGACAGAGGAACCAGAGGAGGGGTAGTAGCAGCTGATGCGGTGACCTTGGGAGCGGCAGTAGCGGCTGACGCAGGAACCATAGGCTGGCTCAGTTCTAGGGACTCCTCTAGAACCTTTGGAGATGATTGTACAAAGAAGGATTCTTCATAAAATGAAGAACATTATAGACAACCCTCAGCATCCTCTTCATCAGACTGTCATACAGCAACAGTGTCTTCAGTCAGAGGCTTCTTCAGATCTGTTGCAAGACAGAGCTCTACAAGAGATCCTTCCTGGCCACAGTCATCAGCATCTATAACAGCTCTTTAATGAAATCAGGATGATGAGTTACAACAACATTTAATTTCTCTCTGAGATTAATAAAGTATTTTTGAATTGAATTGAATTGAACACTGTGTCATACATGATACTGCTACATAGTGCAGCAGCAATAAAGATACGGTATTAACTGTCACTGCTAATGTTAGTCATATTAGGTGTCACAGATATGGCTTGGTGCAATGTTATTGCCAACTGTTCAGTATTATTTATCGAGAGTTTAGTAATCTGACAGCTTGTGATAATAGCTGTCCTTTAGTCTTTTTGTACGTGATGGCAGACTCCTGTATCTTCTGCCTGAGGGTAGTAGGTGGAAAAGTCCTTGTGCTGGGTGGGTATGGTTCTTAATGATGCTGCGTGCTTTATGCAGACTTTGGCTGTCCACTTTGTTTTTTTTCCTGGCAGCTGCATTTCTAACATCCTTCTACTAATATATGTGCTGTCCACTGGTGTAGTCTACATTTTTGAAGTGGGTATACTGTGTTTAGAAACCAAAGTACACCGCTAGTACAATATAATAGTCAATTTATTTTGATTTGCCTGGAGCACCTCCCTAGGAAGCAGATGATAATGGATGGATGGATGGATATTTACACACCCACACCCACACACACCACATACACACACACACATGCACACATATTATCATATTTATTATTATAAGTTATTTTCTTTTTAGTTCAGATTTACAAAAGTAAATTGGACAAAATATGAAAGTTTTTTAGGCTTTAAGTGGCATATATAAATATAAATGCTTTTTTTTAGGGTTTTTTTTAATATAATGTGTTGTTTGGAAAAAAGTAATGTGACGAAGAATCATATTTTAATAAGGGTTTTGCTGTTTATTGTTCTCAAAACTTCACACTGGTGGCTTCAAAGGTTACTAATACTTTTGACACAACAAAATATAAATATCCGGTCTAAACTTTTATTCTGAAAAGCTGTTGCTCACAAATAGTCACCTTTCGTCTAAGTCTAGTTTCCACACAAAACTCTTTCCCAGATTTTCATTGTGTGGCTTATCAACTTAATTCCCCTGTAGTTGCTACAACTCTATACATCCCCCTTGTTCTTAAGAATGGACACTACATACTTCTCCATTCCTCAGGCATTTTCTCACCCTCAACTGTGCCATTGAATATTTGAGTCAAAAACCTCACTGCCATCTCTCCAAGACATTTCCAAAACTCCAGTGGTATCAGGTCTTACTGCCTTCCCCCTTTTCATCCTCTTCAAAGCTTTCCAAACTTCATCCTTGCAAATATTTCCTACTTCCTGGCCCACAGTTACTATACTCTACTCTTCTTTCCCTTTTATTCTCTTCATTCATTAGTTCCTTAAATTACTCCTTCCATCTTCTTAATACACTTTTCTTACCTGTTAGAACATTAAAGTTTATAGCTTTAATAAGCCAAAGCTGCTGCACATCCTTTCCAGCCTGATCCCTAAGTCTTGCAAATCCTTATGTCTTTTCCTCCTCCTTAGTGTCCAGCCTCTTGTACACCTTCTGCTTTGCTTTAGCTGCCTATGTTGCCCTATGTTGCATCTCCTCAGATTCCTATCTACTCTCCAGTCCTCTCACTGTCCCATTTCTTCTTGGCTAATTTCTTCTTTTGAATAGCTTCCTGCACTTCACTATTCCACCACTTGTTTTCCTTGACATCTTTTCTCTGTGCAGATGACACACAGAGTACTTTCCTACCTGTTTTTTTTAAATCACTGTTGCTGCAGTAGCCCAGTCATCTGGAAGCCCATTCTTAACACTCAGAAGAGCCTTTACTAGCTCCTCTCCAAACTCATCACAACATTCTTTTTTCTTCAACTTCCACCATTTGGTCTTCTTCTCTGCTGTCTGGCACTCTCTCCTACCACAACCTTACAGTCCCCAATCTTTTTCAGGTTACCTCTTCTACACATAATGTAATCTACCAGAGTAGTACAGCCTCCACTCTTATGACCTCACTCTTTTGAAATCTGTCAAAAGGTTAGGAAAAATATATACCTTAATATTATACTTAACTCTGTAAACAACCTAAGTTAACAGAAATTAGAGCTTAAATCTGACCAGATTGATAATCATATAGGTGTTTTAAACAGGGTCAACATCAAAGTAGATTGCTACCATCTTGAAACTGTGATTCATGGAAATGTTATTTTATAACATCTGAAAAAAGAAAATTGCCACCATGTACCTCAATTCTAATGGATGGACATTTTCAAGAATACAGACATTTTACCATAAATGTTTACGTTGTCATAAATGTTTCATTACAACGTTATTTACAAATTGTGTTTACTTGCAAGTGCAAATAGTTGAATCAGAAGCCAGCTGTAGCATTTTCAATGCAGCTGAGTTCCTTCTGGCTTTAATATTTCTGGCAGAATAACCATATATTATGAAATTGATGACAGTGGGCTTCATGATACAATGTTTGCATACACTGCTAAGAAACTTATTAGATTAGAATTATTTGTATACTGAAGCAATTCATTTTGGGATTTGCCCTACTGGGACTAATTGTTAGCTTGTCAGTCTTGTCTGAACTAAACTTAATTTCACTAAACTGACTGTTCAACAAGCTGCCCATCATAGTTAAGATACTATTAATTGTGTTTATTTGTATTGCTAGACTCCACACCATATTTTTCTGCAAAAATCATGAGATGGAGTCTTGTCATCTCATCCATCTGAAGAAGAGAAGCTATCCTCTCCATCAGCTTAACATTTCAGTCAACTGCCTATCTGTGAGCACCTTTGTTCATAGATTAGTTTTGCAGCTCAGTGCTGATGCTGGTATTGACTGAAGAGGTGCTGTGCACAAATGCAGAATGAGAGAATTAAATCTCAATAATAAAAGATAAAACAAGCAACCATCTGCCTTCTGTCATTCTGTCAGTGAAAGATTGCCTTACAAAAAAAAATCAACACCCTTGGTGACTTTTTGCCACGAACAATACGGCTTCATCTTGTCAATTTATTCCAAATACATACCTCGGTTTGAAAGATTTTATTTCAAACTTCATTTCATTCAGTACATGTTTGTTTATTGAAACACCAAACATTTTTTTTAAGAAGTCAAGAATATGGAGTTATTAGAGAAAAGCAACATTTTACACACGCACGCAAACACACATATTTTAATTCTTCACTCCTTTAGCAGCTATATCATTAATCAACAGTGTAATTGTGCAGAAAAGGAAATGTACTTGTTGGCATCATAGTGTGAACCATTAGAAATGCCCCGCTTTTACGAAGGAACGGCCTGGATTGAAAACGATGCAAATTTGATGCAAAATTTAAATCATTTATGACCAAATCTGACACATCTGCTGCTATGAGAAAACTGCATATGAGAGCGTGAGAGTGACTCTGAGAGCAAATGGGCAGCAAACAGTGATAGGCAGTATTTCTGTTTGTGTGCACACCACACTGCAAACATCCTCTGCTCACATCTGAACAGTGTCAAGGTTTGTAGCACTAAGACAAACAGTGAATCTTGTGAATTTGCTTTAATGTAGATCTGATCCTCATGGACAACATTTATATTTGATGAGGTCTTGCCTTTAAAAAAAACATGAAATTTGATTTGTTTTTTCACATTTTCTTTGCTTTTTTAAAATTTGATCATTTATATAAGCTCTTCAAGGCATTGAAATAAACAATGGCTATGCTAATTATTCCCCCCCCCAACAAAAAACAAAAAACAAAACAAAAAAATCCAGACATTACAATTGTATTATATAATTATACACTTTACAATTACTCTGCTTTTCCAATTATATTTCATGTAAAGCTCACAGTAGTATGCACAACTCCTTTTAGTATTCGTGTCATTTTTGTCTTTACTATTTGTACACAACAGCACTGAAGAACAATCACAAAAGACAGAAAGTGACTGGTTCACTCCTACCATTTTCCCAGATTGAGTGCTACCTATGTATGTACATGTAAAATTACCAGAGCACAGTGCTCTGTCAGACACAAAGTGAAGGAGAGAGCCACCATAACAACAGAAGGATATGCGGCAAAGAGAGTACTGTAGATTACTGTGAAATTGGTCCCCACCCCACAGTGCTGTCCACAGTCATTATGTTGTTTTCAACAGCCAGAAAGTGGGATTGTCTGTTTTGGAAGGGTAAAAATAAAAATTCTATCACAGCAAACATCTCAAGATCAATATAGGTAAGTATACTTTGTTTTGGGAGGTCAGTTATTTGCTCTTTTTTTTTGGTCACAGTGAGCTGGTCACCCAAGTCAGACATCCATTTGGACCAGCACCAGAACAGGTGGTGCCTCAGCCACTTTGGTTTTGCGACGCAGCAGATGAGTCAAGCTCCTGACGGACGGTGTGGCGTGGAGGAGCAGTTCCTTGAGGCTTGCCCGAAACTCCCTGCGAACCAGACAGTAGAGCACCGGGTTGAGGCAGCTGTTCGTTTGTGCCAGGCACACAGTTATGGGGAAGGCATAGGCCTGGGCATTGTAGAATGCCTTGCTGAAAGGAACAAGGTCAAACTTTATGAGGACCCCCCAGAATGTCAGAGCTTGATTGGGAAGCCAGCAAAGAAAGAAGGACAGAACCACAATGGCAATGGATTTGGTCACTTTAGAACGCCGGTTCTGCTGACCTTGCTTCACTTCTGAGCCTGCTGCTCCTGCGATGCGTCGGCTGAGGATGACACGCAGCAGAAGTAGGTAGCAGACAGTGATTATGATTAGAGGTATAAGAAAGCCCAGCAGGACCTTTTGTAGCTGATACAGACCCAAAAGGAGCTGTGGATCCCAGCTGCCTGAGTCTGGGAAACGGACCAGGCACAGTTCCTCATCTGACACCTCAGCGCTGGTGGAGTAGATGGCATGAGGCAAGGTGGCCAACAGGGAGACGGCCCAGATGCCAAGACTCGTCCACTTGGCCCGGGCGGCAGCTGCTCTCCGGCTGTGCATCTTTAGCGCAGAGGCAATAGAGTAGTACCGTGCCACGCTCATTGCTGTCAGGAAGAACACACTGGCATACATGTTCATGGTGGTGACGGAGCTGATGATTTTGCACATCACTCGGCCGAATGGCCAGCGGAAGTCCAGGGCCGTGTCTACTGCCCAGAAGGGCAGAGTCAGAACAAACTGCAGATCTGTGATAGCCAGCCCCATCACAAAGCAGTTGATGGACGACTGCTTCTGCCTGTGACGGGAGTGCAGCAAATACAGAGCCAGAGAGTTCCCAACCAGCCCCAGTGCACAGACTATAGAGTACACACAAGCTATCATCACACGTACCACCACGCTGGAGCTGTCTCCTTGATACTCCATGATGGATTCCCTGGTGAGGAGCTGCAGCCAGCAGTTCAGTGACATGTTGCTGCTGGAGCCTCCACTGTTATGTCCAGCATCCTCCCGTAGTTCACATGTCTCTGGAGCCACTGTTTGGACCCCTGTCTCATTCAGAGGCATGTCTGGACTCTTCTTCTCACATGCCAACCTTAAAGTCAGAAAGCTGCTTTGTGTCACAAAAGACACGCGGAAAAAGTTTGCTTTGATGGCATTTTCAGATCTCCTGTTGCGTCAGTGTCCATCAGCGCTAAACACATGGCAGCCTCAGCCACGATGATCCTTCTCTCATGTCCTCTGTCTACTCTGTCTCACAACCTCGGAGCGCGCGCCACGTCCTCTTCTTATAGCTCCGACGGGAGCGCGCAGCGGAGCGCGGCAGACCGGCTCCGTCTCTGCAGCCCGATGATTGGAGGAAAGCGAACCCCTCCTCATATTATTGCCACATCAAAGACTCAACCATATCTCCACAGAGGTGAAGCTGATGCGCCCCCCCGTCCCTAGACACTTGTAAAAAGTGGATCATGTTTATGCTCTGATCTTTTTTTTTTTTTTTTTGGGGGGGGGGGGGGGGGGGGGGGGGGGGGGCGGGGCGGACGAAAACAGCGTGCATGAAATGTGCCAAAGAGGTTTTATTCATTCTTTTATTTATTTTTGCGTTGACCTATTTTAAGGACACTGCGTTCTTTTGAAAAACTTCTCCATTAATGTATTTTTTAAAAGCTATATAATTTAGTCATATGCCAAACATTACTTACTCTCATTTTAAATGTGACTTACTGTGTGAAAATATGCCAGACTGGGGGTGGTGGGGGTGGAGCAAATTCAATTCAGCAAGACTATACATTTACAAGATATTTACAAAAAATTAAAATATGTATGATTTCTTATTTATTAAAAAAAAAAAAAAAAAAAAAAAACAAAAAACTAAAACCATTCTAAACATCATAAACAGACATATGACATAATATTGCTTTCTGAGCACAAGACAGTTTTATACAAGAAACAAATTAATTAATTTGGACATGGCTTTTATGATAATTTTTATTATTATGACTATTGTTGTAATGAGGAGGCAAGCTTTTTTAAAATTTGCTCTGTGATGCTGCAATGTTGCTGTGGCTGTGTATTTATAGCTCATGGCCACAGTCTTACAAAAAAATAAAACAAACAACAACAACAACAACAACAAATGGAATTAATTGAAACAAACAAACAAATAAATGGGCACTAATTGAAACTCATGGCTACAATGTTTGTTGCAACTTTATAGTCTTCTTTTATAACAGAATGGGCTGGCACATCTCTCTAATCAAAACTGACTCAGGATATGTCTGTCAGCTGGCACTGTGAATGTTTTTCCACTTCCTGTTAACAGCTGTCACGAAAACCCCAAGTTCATATTAGGGTTGCATGAAATAATATTCAAGAATCACTGCAACAGCTAAAGCAAAACATCTAATGCAATCCATATAGTTAAATATATTTGTTGCTGAAAAATTCTGGAGTAATTGAAAGGACAGAATAAGTTGGGGAAAAAATAATCTGCCCACTTTTTAATCCATTGCAACCCACTTCCTGTCATCTTAACCTTGCCTAAACCTCTAAATTCACAGGCAGCACTGACAGTAGGCCTGCTTTACTCTTTAAAACATTTAAGTCTCTTACGACAAATAAATCTGCACAGATTGCTTGCAGAAAACATGAGATTTCCCATTTTGCATATTTTATATGTAGGAAGCTGTTGTTCATTTGTGAAACTCACATTGGAGGTCAGGATTTACGTTATCACATACAAAGTAATCTGACTTGCATATCAATCACTATAAGTTTTTTTAAACTCCATGGTGAGCACAGTACTGGAAATAGAAGATATTTGTCTTTTATCAAAGTCTTCAGTCAGTCTGGATGAGGGAAAAGGCTCTGCAGACTCTGCACGCTGACTCTTAACTACAAATAGAGGGACGCTTGCTCCGTTTACACATCCATATTCAAGACACAGGTCTGAGTCCATTTGCATTAAAAAACTCTCAACGCCTCAAGCAGATGCCATCTGCTGCTGGTGAGTTTCACTATTATCCTGTAAAATAAACTGATTTTAACATCAGAGGGAGGTGCACAATCTAATAAACACATTGCAATATTTAATATTAAAGGCTAATGAGGGGGTGGAACTATATGTGTTTTGGTATAAACAGAGTTGTGCACGATTTTACAAGATGTGTTAATCCTCATGTTGAGGATGACATTCAACTACTACCTCACCCGTCCATCCATCCATCCATCCATCCATCCATCCATCCATTTTCTTTACCCGCTTATTCCATTTTGGGTCACGGGGGTCGCTGGTGCCCATGTCCAGCAATCACTGTGAGAGGGGCGAGGTACACCCTGGACGGGTCGCAAGTCCATCCCAGGGACACATAGAGACAAACGAGACAAACAACCATTCACTCTCTCACTCACACCTAGGGACAATTTCGAGTTACCAATCAGCCTAACATGCATGTTTTTGGTCTGTGGGAGGAAACCGGAGCACCCGGAGAAAACCCACACATGCACGAAGAGAACATGCAAACTCCACCCAGAAAGGCCCCTGGACCGGGGTTGGAACCAAGGACCTGCTCGCTGAGAGGCAGCAGCTCTACCAGTTGCGCCACCGTGCTGCTACCTCACCCGTGTTTAGGACAAATTAGAAATCAAATAGTCTGTCATAGCTATATTTGTATTAACTAAAGTTTAATATCTGTGGTGGTCATCTTTAAGTATGTTGACAAAAGTTCATCAGTTGTCCATGCTATTTAATGATGACTTTTTGAGCATTTCCATTAGAATCTTTCTGTTTGTCCAAGAGATATGGACAGACACTGTTCATTTTGGTTCAGTTTAATTCAAAAATACTTTTTTAATCAGAAAAGGAAATTAAATGTTGTAATGTAACTCATCATCCTGGTTTCATTAAAGAGTTGTTGTAGATGCTGATCGCTGTGGGCAGGAAGGATCTCTTGTAGAATCTGTCTTGCAGCGGATCTGAAGAAGCCTCTGACTGAAGACACTCTGTTGTTGTAGGACAGTCTGATGAAGAGGATGCTGAGGGTTGTCTATAATGTTCTTCATTTTTTGAAGAATCCTTCTTTGTACAATCATCTCCAAAGGTTCTAGAGGAGTCCCCAGAACTGAGCCAGCCTTCTTTATGAGCTTGTTGATCTTTTTTAAGTCACTTGCTCTGGTGCTGCTGCCCCAGCAGATGATGGCAGAAGAGATAACACTCTCTACAACAGACTTATCCTCCTGACTACCAGGAAAAATAAATATTGTCTATGTCCAATATTTTATTATTTATGAGGAAGAGAAAGGTACCAAAGCTCACCCTTTTGTATTTGGTATCACTGAAAACCCCTAAATGTCCTCTGTAGAGAGCAAAAGGAGTTAATTCAGTAATATGCTGTGGGTGGGAGATATTCAGGTTTACAAATGTCTTCCAAGGAGGACAAATTTGAACTGATGGTAGTCAGGAGAAGATATGCAGCATCTTGCTACAAACACTGAAGGACTTCAGCTTCCTCAAGAAGTACAGTCTGCTCTGTCACTTGATGTAGATGCTTCACTTTTGCATCTCCAGTCCAGTGTGTTGTCCAGGTGAACACCAAGGTGTTTATACCTCACCTCCACTTCTTCTCCCATGATGAAAATAGTGTTGGACCTGTTTCAGTTCCTCCTGAAATCTACAATCATCTCCTTTGTTTTAATCACATTCAAGATGAGATGATTGTTTCCACATCATGCCACAAAGCGGTCCACCAGTTCCCTGTACTCAGCTTCTTGTCCATCTCTGGTATGACTGCAGAGTCACTTGAATATTTCTGCAGATGACAGGAGTCTGTTTTGTACTGGAAATCTGATATTATTTGTGTATATGTTCATTCTTAACAGTTAATGCTAAAGTTTTAGATTACCAAGTTGCCACTATGTATAGCTCTCCAAATGTATGTTGTAAATAATTCTTTGCTACTGCCACACCAAATGTGAACTTATCTGTGAAATTAGATTAGTTAAAGTCATTTTTATGTTGGCTAGAGTTAATTAGTTGTGGTGGCCATCTTGAGGTAGTAGACTCCAAAATTTGATCAGTTGTAGATATGCATCCAGGGATTCCTTTTTGAAATTTTCATAAAAAAATGTCCAGAACTTGATGAGATATTTTGCTAACAGACAGACAGACAAACAGAGTTGATTCCAAAACTTAGAGGACAAGTTTCAAAACCAGAGCCTCTGCAATTAGTTAGCTCTCAAACTATGTGTTGGGAATGATAACGATGTCAAAGCTTGCATTTCTACCTAATCTTTTGTGATATTTATAAAAAGACCAGTTTTTGAAAGTGCTGGATCTAATTCCATCATAGCCGTTAATGGAGAATTTAGAGTTTTAAAGCATTTGTTCTTCAAAACTCTGAACAGGAAATAAAAAGTATGTTCCAGGAAGTTCACATTAAAGATTTTCCCATGACCTGATGAAAGAAGCGCCACCTGCATCCTTGCATGCCAACGTTTGAAACAAAAACTTTATGTATACTGATCCCTATCAGAAGATGTGTTGGAGATGACTCTCAGTTACTACCACTAACTGTTACTCAATTACAGTCATTTGACACTTTGATTAAAATTGGTCCATTTGTTTATGAGATATTTTGCAAATCAAAACAAAAGCATGCACACAAACACACACAATGACACAAGCATTTACTGTATACGATCGCATGCCTTTTATGGTGGTTGGTGATAAAAATGTGGAACTTGCAGCTATTAGGACCATCAGGTTTATCTTTCAAAGTTAAAGAGAAACAACAAACATTCATGCATCTTGATGCAATGATTGAAAATTAAAGTTCCTTATTAAGCCAACAGTAAAATTGGTTGTGATCACAAGAAAACCATATCTCATTTTATAGTGAGCATTTACTGCAGTGGACCACAAACCAAAGCTTTTACTGTGGTTATTTAGTTAATTCTACATAGTGAATGTAAGAAGTACACAGTAGTCCCTCGCTTCTACACAGTTCGACTTCTGCGGACTCGTTCTATCGCTGTTTGTGGATGTACAGTCCATAATATTAGACAATAAATAAATAAAAAAATTG